CAGAATCAACCAAGAAAGATACCTTTTACAAGACACCTGATACAAAAATGAACGTTGAAATGATGATGCAAAAAGGAACTTTTAACTATAGTAAGTTTGATGAGCATACAAATATCTTTATTAACCATTTCATGTATGATCCATTCTTATTCAAGTTTTATAGAGACCACTCGAGATATCTGAAACGCCAATGCCACGTACCACGTAGCCTTCCTTGCTCATTTAATTTAAGGAAAATCCGATGTAACTAATAGGACACAAGATTGCTTCATTATTCATACTAAAAGTTGGCAAAAAGAACAAAACAGTAGTTTCATCGAGATAAGATGCCTTCTGCAATGTCAGCGCCTGAATACAACTATTCGAGCTCGACGGTAATCCGCGTTGCATACCCACTGGAATGAAGGCGTTTTGGCTTTCCTAGCTTTTATTGCGATGCGCGTGGCATGGCGCGTCATTACGCTGCTTTTACCTACCGTCGAGGTGTCGCTACGGTGAATGAGAAATGAAAGAACAGGGGACGAGAGGATAAAAGAGCTGCCTTTGGCGTTCTTTTTCCTTTGCATGACTAACACACACCTTAGACCGTTCTACACATTAGCTCAGCATTCATAAAGCGAGTTAAATGGTGGAGCAAAACTGAATGGATAATTAATCAAATTTTGGTGTTGCGTGTCATTTAATTGACGATCTAAGTTTCTTTTTAAACCATCAGCTTTGATCATCAGCTTTAAATCAATGCATCAATGTTCATGAAAGACGTACGCGCCACTCATACCTGCAACTTTTAAGCCATTATTTTTCTGTGAATTTTTGGATTTCGTTCATCACTTGTTGGACCAATTTTTTTTTCAATATAGAAAATAATACATATTTTTTTATGAATTTTAATATTTTATTTATATGGAGGGAAGTGTTGTGTTATTTTACTTACTCCCCCCCCCTTCCAATGCAATTTGTATCTCCAGTCCCAAAAATTGTGGAGTCCGAGTCAGGCTTCTTCATAGGCGGATCCAGATATTCCGAACGGAGAAGGGGGAGGCTCTATTCAATGTCTTTGGGGGGAGGGCGGAAGGGGCTCCGAGGGGCTTCTTTAAAAAAATTGTCGAAATTATAAATTTTAATCCAGTATACAGCTTGCGTCAATGTTTTCATGAATAACCACCAAAGTAAGCGTCCTTCAGCATTCATTCCTCCGTTTCTTACTACTTTCTTTCCTTCCTTCCCCCCCCCCCCCCC